TTCCTTTAATCCTTCCTCCTTCCCTCCCTCCTTCCCTTTCTTCTTTCCTTCCTCCCTCCCTCTTTCCTTCCTTCCTTCCCTCCCTCCTTCCTTCCTGCCTTCCTCCTTCCCTCCCTCCTTCCCTTTCTTCTTTCCTTCCTCCCTCCCATCTTTCCTTCCTTCCACCCACTCATCCACTTCTACTGACAGCACAAACATGTTCCTGGAAAGGGAGAATTGGAGGAAAAACAGACCTTGCTCTCAAGTTGCACAATCTAGAGGGGCAGACCAGCAAGTAGGCAGGGACAAGCATTCCCAGGTGACAAGTACACATTGTAAATTATAGAATATTATAGAAACTTATAGCTTGAGAATGGATCAAGGGAGACTTCTTGAGATGCCAGATAGAAATTAGGCAAAGTAGAAAGGGAAATAACACTCTGGGTGGAAAAAACAACATGGACAAAGATGTGGAAATGTTCATTTTTTTGTTCAATCATTTATCACTCAGTCATGTTTGCTAAGTGCCTTTGGCTCCCCTGAACTCTGCATTATACTTGGTCTCAGGTTGTGGCAATATCCCTCCTGTCCCTACTATGCATTGCTTACCTGTCTCCTAGAAAATGGGCCTTCACTGAAGTTCTTCCTTCTCTGCCCTCTCTCTCTTGCAGCCTCTGTTGGCAATTTTAGCTGTACCTATCAAGCACTACCACTTTTACAAAAATGTCTTTCAAATTGCCATCTTTGAACCACTCAGCTCTGACGCCCTGAAGGACAAAGATCCTCTTATTTCTTTCAACTTGGCATCTGTAACACCTGATGGAATGGCTCATATTTTGTTGTAACAAGTAATACACACTTACTGCACAGAAGTATTTATTTTTTCTTTGCGATAGCTTTCTACATCTCCCACCTCTCTGTGGTTCTCAGATCTCATCTTCACAGAAAAGAATGGCTACAGTGCTTTGTCTGGGAGTTCAAACTGAAGACCTGACTAACCTCTGCTCTTCTAACTTCTTTTGTCATCTATCCATCTCAATCATTGTCATCAAGAACCAATGTCCCATGACTTCATGGACAAGACGACATTGATGATGGTCTTCTATTGGGCTCCTCTTTAGTTAGAACTGAGACTGGGCCTATGGGTCTGGTCTGGAACAAAGAGATGAGCTTTCCTCTCCATGGGGCCTATAGTTGAGGAAGAGCAAGTAATCGTAAGTGTATATGGAAAGTAAAGTAACCATTGATGGTCATCCCTGCTCTGAACAACTCAAAGCAAAGTAGTAGATTGGGCTACTTGGAAAGACCTTGAGGAAAGGACTTCTTTTTTTAGTTGGCAATGATTGGAAGGAGTCAACCACAAGAAAACTTGAGGGTAAAGAGAGCACTCCCACAAAACAGCATAAAGCGTCTTAGATCCAGACAGAACTAGCATCCCCATGTAAAAAGTCATAGCAATGATGCTGCTTAGACAGACACAGTAAAAGCATTAATGCTAAAAATGTGAATTGCTGGTGTATAGCCAGTGTTCAGAAAGCTTCCAATGGCTCATGCAGTTTAATCCTGAGATGGAAAATATTGCAGTCTCTATTTTAGAGATGAAAAAACCAAATCACAGAAAGTAATCTACCCAAGCAAGATGCTCTTGTTCACCCAAAAAGAAGTATTCTCCTCCTCCTCTGGACTTGTGGTAAAAATCTGACATTTTACGGTGTGGTTCATGCCAATCTTGATAAATATTCCATACCTGTGTCCTAAGTGTTTTAGTTAATGAATTGTATCATGTTATCTTGATAAAACATTCTATGCCAAAAAAAAATAGATGAAACAATTTTTAGTAGTAGGTTCTCTGTCTCCTCTTCCTTGGCTCTGGTTGTTGGTGCATATATTTGAATGATAGTGGTATTCACTGGACTTCCTTGTATGTGTGTAGATATTATCCTGTCACTGACAATATTGTACTTCAAGATAGATCTAGCAATGGCTTTTTTAACTATGAAAGCAACTCCATTTTTCCTCACTTTT